TGACATGGTGGTACTACATTGTAACAGACTGTGCTCTGAGGGTTGAGGAGAAGGCACATCGCAAGTGTTTTCTCTGAAGTGATTCTCCCAGGGAGCCCTGCTTCCTGAGTACAGCTCTGTGGTGACTTCATACCCATAAGTATTCCTGCAGATGGGCTCCACTGAGGCTTCTGCTTACCCTTTCCCCTAGAAAGGGGAAATTCCTCAGCCATGAGGAGTCAGGGACTGGTTGCCTTTGTTCCCTTCCCTGTGCTGCCATGCTTCATCTCAGTGTCTTGCTATGATCCCACCATTCCCCTACTATGTTCAAGTGATCTTTGGGTATTCATCTTGAGATGAATGCCTTGGGCCTTCTCAGTGGAGGAGAAGGCCAAGGCTTGGCATCTCTACTTGGTCATCTTGAACTCTCCCCCAGGTTAATATTTTAAAAATAAGGTGTGCTGATAACCACATTTCTGCTGAGAAATCTTCCACTGCTGCCAAGAGAACAAATTTCTCAGTTTGGTCCTCATGAGTAAGACCTAACTACTTTAATTCTGACCATGCTCTGTTAATAATGTATTTTCTGTTGGTTCCTATAATTTTCTTTCTCTAATTATCTTTTCTCCACCTATTTTAGTGTTCAAATATTATTATTCTTTTACATGTTTCCTCCGTGGAATCTTCCCTTTCTTGTACATCTTTCAATAACAATTTTATTCTGTCTATACTTCGATCTAAACTCTAAACAACTTACAGCAATGACCTGTATTTATTTCATCTTTGAATCTCTTAAAATGCACAAGAAAATGTCTAAAATATGACTTACATATTTTTCAAATAATGACTTTCAGAATTATGCAAATCTAGAGTACCTTATCTCAGTATTAAATATGCTAAAATGCCTTTCACTACCATAACAATGCTTGCAAATACCATACATAAAATTCCCTTTTGCAGCACACACTTTGAAAAAAAGGAAATTAAATAGCAGGAAAACTGCTTTCTCTGGATTTTTTTTTTCTAGCACAGGTAATGACCTAAAGCACCTGGTAAAACTGGCTTATTTTAGAGCAACGCTGGAGATCTCTTTCTTAATGACAGCACAAAACAATGTTTATATACATAAATCTCTGGGTGATTCCATTTTTCCAGCCTTGCCTGAACCATTATCTCTATATCTGTCCATCCTTCACATGGATTACAATAATTTCTCTGAAATATAAATCTGAGAATTCCACTTACTTGATTAAAATTATACTTTTTCACTGCCTTTAGAATAAAACCCAACCTTCTCAGTATGTTAAAGAACATTCCACACGAAGCTGTCTTTGCCTATTCCTAGTCTAGTCTCATTTCTAACTCTCATATATTCCAGCCACATAGCCCTACATCATCTCCACCCAAAAGAGTTCTTGTAATTCTCTGAATGTGTCCTTCTCGGCCTCCCTGCTTTCCATAGACTTTTTTGTTTGTTTGTTTGTTTTTCCTGCTTCAGTCTGAAGTCCTCTGTCCCTACTTTGCTGTGTTAACTTCTACTGATTTTTAAGGACTCATCTCGGGCATCATCTGGGTTAGGAGCCATCTGTATTTCCATGACATTTTGGGTATACCTCAGACATAGACCATTTCACATTATACTGCAACTATGTATTTGATGTGTCTGTTTCAGCTACAAGACCATACATCCCTGGTGGATAGGGGCTGTCATTTAATTGTGAATCTCCATTACTTAGCAAAGCAGATCCATAAGCAGGACTGCCAGATGGAACGAGATTGTCAGGCACCCTAGGAATTGGGGCTATAGATAGGTCTGGGGAAAATAGCAGATCTTCAGCAGTTTAAATACTTCTCAAAACTAAGTACTAATCCAAGCAGTGGATATAGCTATCACATATACTCATGTAAAACAAGTTCTTTCACATATGGAAATACAACTGGATGGAAATGTTAATTTAGGTAGAATGAATCTAAACTCAAACAGGATGAAAAAAACTTACTAAACTCCTTATCACCATTCATCCTGCTCTGACCACAAATATATCTAATTTACTTTGAAGAAATTTCTAGGAATACATTTTTAAGGACATAGAAACAATAGTAACATTAGTACTAACAAAGGTAAACATGGTAGAATAATAAAAACAACTGGCTTTATGTGTTTTTTTTTTTTTAAATAAAAAAAACCTCAAAACTCTTTTATATAACTTTTGATATTAAAGAAAAAATGATAAAAGCTCTACAAATAAAGCTCTAAAAACTCAGCTTTGCCTTCAAGCAAATGAGACAAATACTCCTTCAAAGTATTTCTGATTATAGATAACATCAGCTGTACCCACATTTACATCACTAAGAACTTTCATAATATAAACTCCAGGAAATTTGAAACTCTAAATATTTACATGTATTAAAGAAAGTAAGTTTGGCTTGCATATTGTCTTTGAAACTATTACTTACGAAGTTTATGCCATCATACAAGAAACTTTCTATTACCTCTTTATTATTACACAATTATTGTTTGTTCCAGAATTCTCATAATGCATTGAAAAGCCAATCTATCAGACTTGAACCTTCACCTAGATTAATATTTCACGTTTCTCTCTTATAAATAAAAGAAAAATATGATTTCAAAAACTTTGTTGTTCAGTCTCCCTGAGCCTTCAGCATTAATATTACGGGTTTAGACTGTTATTTTTAGGGTTCTTTCTTATTCTAGAGTTTTAAGATTGTGTTTTTGTTGGCAAGTTGGTGAAACCTGTCTTATGTCCTTGAGCTTTCCTTTGTACTCCCTCCTCCCCAAGGCACCACCTGGGTTAGGTATAGCTCCCCTAAAATTGCCTGTGTGCTAATGCATTTCTCCTCAGTAGTCACAAAACCAATAACAAATTAAAATATTACCTCTTGCAAGGGATCTGTATTTTAACTTGGAATATTCATGTCACAAACTAAATGAGTGAAGTGTTAACAATAAATATCAGGCAACCAGGCATGGGAGAGTTCTGGGGTAGGTAAGGCTGTCTCTAAAATTCATCAATGTGAAACAGTTTATTTTTCCTAAGGATAAATTGCTCTCTCCCTTTCATAAACAATTATTTCAGTTATTTAACATGGGTAAAAAAAGATGAGATAAAGCCTAATCTTAGAAATTCAATATCCTGAAAGCGCAAGTTAAAAAAAAAAAAAGTTAATACCTATATGAAAACTTAAGAGCTAAGTTATACAAAGTCTTCCCTGTTCAATGACTTATAACAGAAAAGTAGAAGATAAAAACAATAAGGGAAATTATTAATCATTTGTTAAATATTATAAACATCATTTCAAAAATTACTACCTTTGGGGAAGGAAAAGGTATAGAATGTTTCATTTATTTTCAATATTATAGAGGACTACAGAAGAAATGAAATTATTTAAAAAACATAGTTGCATTTAAATAGTCACTTTTTAAACAGATTGGTAAAGTCACATAAATCTTGGAGTTTAATTGTGATGTTTTATCTCAGTAAGAATGGAGTGTAACTCTAAAATTACTTATACATTGTTACATAGATTGCAATAAGCTTTATTAAGTTTTAAAACACCAGCATCTTAATTTTAGGGAAAATGTAATGAAAAATTTAAATGGATTACATCTAAATAAGCAAACTCATTATAGAGGGAAGGCCCTTTCACATATATCTCCTCTGTCTAAGTTAGGAAGGTTGTGAGAATAAATGTCCTCATTTGAACAGTACCTTAGTTTTAAAGTAGGCTTTCAAAAAAAAAAAAAAGACCTTTAAAAAAATTCACAAGCTGGGTCCTACAGGAAATTAATAAAAGATGGGTGACTTCATTTTCCTGCATGTATTAACTTAGACTTACCATTCTCAAGTAGCATACAGCAATAGTGATTTTCTCCTTTTAGCCTGAAATTGTAAATAGTAATAACATCCATCTAGGTCTCTGCCTAGTTCCAACATTAGACCAAGTGTTATGGAATGACACAGAGCCACTTGTATATTCAATGACTTACCTATACTTAGAAGAGAATAATGTTCAGGCAAACTGCTCTGCTTTTAGCCATTCTGTCTGGATATATACTACAGGTAATAGAGTATCATCAAAAACAAAATCAGACTATAAGATTTGGAAAATTTTGGATTGAGTATTACATTCGTAATGTTGTTTTTAAAATTCAAATAATTTGTTTAAAAGGAAATATCAAAGGAGTACTATGCATAAGGTATTTTAAATTACTTTTGAGGTAGGCTAAAGCAAAAAGTATTTCATGTCCTTAAAATACCAGATCAGAAGAACTTCTAGAGCAAGGAACATTGGCCAATCAAGTGGAATTTAATACCTTGTAATGGTAGCCTATTCACTGACTCTGCTCGGTAAATTCAAGCATCCTGAAGCCCTAACAACCAGGGATATCAACATATATAATTTCCCCAAACTCAGCGATCTCATAGGTTAGGAAAAACAGAAAGTACCTTTTGTAAAAAGATGGGATATATGAGTTGAAATTGTGGGCTCTCAATAATACTTTCAGTAACCTCAGATTTTTGGATTGCTTTAGCAGTTCTGTAAGTATACGATTTTGAATTTCATTTTAAAATTATAATTTAAAAGAATGAATAAAATTTCAACTTACAAATTGGGATTGAGGGGCTGGCAACTGTGGCATACTAGGCTAAGCCTCCATCTGTGACACCAGCATCCCATATGAGAGCTGGTTCATGTTCCAGCTGCTCATCTTTCAA